GGGAATCACTCTGCTGTTTACAGCCATGGGATCTAAACTGAGCTCCGTCATGTTGCCAGAACTGTTGTAGACAAACATTTAAGTACAACAGCTCTTATTTTTCTTATTATTTTTGTGGATCACTATGAAAATTAATCATTTGATTTGTTTTATTTCTGAGTTCCTGTGAGGATTAGAGCTGTGAGGACAAATTAGATCAGAGGTCTGCTAGGGCAGCAGATGTTTGCAGGGGGAATGGCTCTGCTTTTATGTTCCTATGGCTGTCTCTGAGGATGAATGTCAGTTACCAATATCACTTCCACCTCTCTGCAGCTGAGGTGGTGTAAGCTGGGAAATTATTTCAGTATTGCTAAATCAAAGAGAACAAAGGTCCTAAGCCACATTGCAAAGGAGCTGCATACATACCATCAAATGAGAAGATTGAGCCTGGGTACGTTTTTATTCCATGCAAAGATGTGCATGGGATACTCCAGGAAGATGTGTGCATGGTAGAGAGTGAAACAGTGTTTCCTACTCTCACAGACATATTTTAGAGCCCACTCTTTCACATCAGTGTTTCTTTAGCAGTTATGACCATAATCCTTCTCCAGATCTGTAGGCTTGCTTGCCTGCCATTCTCCTGGCTCCCGGAAGCTGTGCTCCCCAGTGAGATGCACATCCTGGCTGCAGAAGCTGCTCTGTCCCACACATCTGCTCTTGCTTCCTCTTCACCTTGCATGTGTCAAGGCAAGCTCCTCCACTTCTGCACCTGCCAAACCCAGGCACAACCACATGGTGAACACTACTGGCCTTGCACCATGTCCAGATGACCATAAAGAAAAACCAGCATCATGACCATCTGCCTTGGGAAAAAATGCTGCTTTCCCCAAAACCAACTTTCTCACCTAAATCTGTTCTTAGATGTCAGTTTCTCTCATCTGCCCTGGATGTAGATACTTCCAGAGCACTCCAGTCGATTCTCCTATGTCTCTCTGACGACAGTTTCCAAATTTCAAAAGCCAAACACATCTAACCTTACATGTCTGGCACTATTCAAATGCCTTCAGACGTTCCCAATAGCTCTGCAACATTTCTCAGTCATTTGCTTTTTCCTCGTGTTTTTGAAGAACTTGCCAGGTTAAATGTGAAATCACTCAGTGAAACAGCAGACTGTGCACATTTCTTCACTTTCTGAGACCCAAAAGGCACAACAAAAAGCTATTACTTAGGAAACCCAGTTAGCATCCCTTTCTCTGTGCCTGCTGCTCTGCTGGCAAAGGCTTTGCTGACTCACCAGCTGATTCACACAGGCAGCAGTAGCAGCTTTATTTGGCTTGTGAGGAGCACCACTGTGCCTGTGTGTGGTCCCCTGCAGCCTCAGGCCACACCTATATATAGCTGCTGTCTCTGCCCCTGGTGTGGTCAGCTGGGCACAGCCTCCAGAGGCTCAAGAGTCTGTCTTTTTCACTCACAGAAGGATTCCTTGCTCCTGTTTCATTGCCAATAGCTGCCTACTGGTTGTCGCTCCCCTTCAGTGAACATGCACAGAGCCCAAGAAACCAGATCAGGCCAAGACTCAGTAACTGCATAGGCTCTTATGCAAATAAAATCACTGGCCATAAAACATTCTAAAATAATTTACACATATTCTGGTAAAAGAAACAGGAGTTAGAGCTATGGGGGCACATGCTGTCTTAGTTCAACTTCCTAAAATATTGATATTGGCTTAAAATTTTTTTCATACTACATCAGCCACTAAAAGAGAAGATGCACCTCTCTGCCAGATGGACTGCAATTCTTCAAACAAAACAAAAAAGAAATAAGGGAAAGCTAATCAGTATAGAAGCACAAAATGAGTGGTATGTGTCTCTTGTTTCCATTTCATTCTCTTTTTAGATTTTCTCTTCTGCTTTTCCTAGTTTGTAATGTTTCCACTACTTGCAGCTCTTAAACTGTTTAAATCTTCACCTCAACTATTTTTCTTAGCTTAATGAACTACACAGCTGTTCAATTAATTGAAACATTGAAAAACAATGCTTGGTCCAAAATAGACTGAGCTAAAATTAAGGAATAGTAGGTTCAGGAGGTTAAGTGTGCCCCTTACTTTTCACCTATTTTGTTTTAATAGATTTAGTTTACGAAGGGGCTTGTATTTCTGTGCACAAGCTGACACTGATAGGCTCCAACAGGGTAACTTGACAACACGCACTAACTTGGCTGCCAGCTTTCCCCTTTCTTATCCAAGTTTTTCTCTTACACAGAGGCTGATGGGAATGTCTCATGTCTCAATTTGATGGTGGTCCTCTCAAATTGCAACTCCTAACTGCCCAGCAATATCAAGTGCTTGGATGAAATTGTCCCAGGACAAAATGTTTTAGGAGTCTACTGCAGCTCTTCTGTATGTGTAGAAACAAAAAGGCTGGGAAAAACTGGTGTTTGTAATAAGGGAATTAAACTGCATGGAGAAAACCAAAATGGAAACAGAGGTGTGTTTAAGGAAAAGTCATTAAAACCTGACAACTACACATCTTTGCATTTGTTCTCAAAGCAGTTGTCTGGGACTGGCAACCAAAACTGAATTTGAGGCAGCACTGGAAGGGGTGGTGTGGGAGTGATATTGCATAAAGTATCCATGAGAAGGGGTATACAAATGCCATATAAGTGAGCTATAGATGTATTGAACACTGTGTATTAATGTTTAATAACTGGAGAGTCAACTTCTGGATGTCAATTCCTCATGGGATGTCCTGTGAAAATCCCCCCAACATTGGACACATTCAAACTCAAGGGCATGAGGAAATACCTGGGGAGAATCTGAGTGAAAAAGACTGCAGGGTCACAGAAAGACTCCCATTGAAAGTCTTAATGTGCAAAAACCTCAGTAAAAATTTCCACCATATTGCTCTCTGTCTACTCAATACCATGAGTCACCTGAATAATTTTTAAAATGGCCATGGATGTCCTCACACAGAAAAAAATAATCTGCCAAGAGAACATAAGTTGCTCTGGTATCTTCTTCAGTCTCTCTTCTGACTCTTAAAGACTATTAAAGCAAAGAAGCAGCAGTATCCAGGAGAATACCCAGTGGTTATAGATAAAAAGTAAGTCAGAGGGAAAAATTGCTGCTGCAGTTGTGTAATAAATAGGAAAACAACCAAAGGGAGTGAAATCACATGTTTGTGTGTGTCAGATGCATCTCGGCAAGATGCTCTGATGTTCTGCAGATGGATGAGATGCAGGTTGATTCATAAATGGCATAATCTTCCTATATGACAATAAAAGGCAGCGAATATATCAATATCAGAGGAAGAGACTTCATTCATAAATACTAAATACTTACTGACATTACAAGAATACTGATATATTTATTCTCTGATGCTCTTGCTGACAAAATTTCAGACATGAAATAATCAATGGCTCCAGAATTCATTTTGTATGCAGAAAATTTGTTCTCAGGGTATCCTGAGATACTTCAGCCTTAAAAAGCCAAGATGCCTTTGTGTCTCTCATTTATTCTTTTCTGTGAGCCTTCCACTGAAAATGCAAACACCAGAGTCTTCCCCTTCAGTATTCTGCTCCCTCCAATTTGCTGCCAAATTCTTTACTCTGCCTTCCCTGTTGGTTCCTCCAACATCTAGAAAGCAGCTCCAAGGCATTGCTAATTTCATATTCCTGTCCCAAGAGAACGGTTTTTTAACTTCACAGAGACAAACCAGCAGTGCTGGCTGGCAGTTGTGACTTTGGCCACCTTGGATACAAGGAGTATCATCACTCAGAGTCTGTTGTACCGTGTCTTCAGGAGAAATCCTTCACAGCTGTCTGGATACCACCACTGGATATCCCATCTACAGTCCCTAAATGCAAACTTTTTTCAGATACTAACAATTAAATTAAAAGTCAAAGTAGATTAAATTAAACTTTATTCACGATATTGTCCATGAAAAAATATTATTATAGCATGGCCAATATTGAGAGAAACCATATTAAAATGCCTTGCCTTGCACTCATGTAATTTTCTTTCCTTTGATTATCTTAAAGTATTTTCTAAACAATTACAAAACCCTCACAACACCTTGTAATGATAGAATTGTAGTGTTTACAGTTAGGACAACAGAAACACTGAGAAGATAGAGCCAAAATTATCAAGCATGAGCGATTAAATACAACAATTTGAAGCCCTATTTATTTTAGTAAGTGTTAAATATATGTCTGTCACTGATTTACAGAAACCAGAAGGTGACACAAAGATAGACAAATGAAGCTTTTCTCTTCAACTGTAGAAATCCATCTGTAAATGCCCAATTTGAAGTGATACCTTCTTAGGCTTAATAGTGCTTGACTGTATTCTTTAATTACAAAGCATGTGAAAGAAACCTTACATTTCAGGGCCCTACATGGAAGGATCCCAAAGGACTTAATAAATGTCTTTTGCTGCAATGAAGCCATTTCTGGAGTGGACAGTGACAACTCCTTCACAGCCCATAGGGACTTTGCACAGCAGTGTGAGAGTCCAGGTGAAGAAGGTTGTACAGACCTGAGTCTGCAGGGAGAATCTGGGTCAGAAGATTGCAATCACTTGAGTTGCCCAAGCAATAAGAAAAGTGCCTCTGATGTTTACCTGAGTTCTGAAATAATCAAGGCTTACTTTCATTTGCCATAGAGAATTTAAGCAAAATCTTAAGTAGTAGCAAAATGTATGTTGAGTTAGATTTTTTACAATACTTTGAATGTGAAAGGTCTTTGTAAGATTCAAAGTAACTCAGTAGAGAAACTGTCAAATGACTAATTAACACTGAATTAATGTAGATGTTAGATAATAAATATTCACAACAAACTGTTCACAAGATATTCATGTAGTGAAAATATTTTCCAAACAAATTCACAAATACCTATAGTAAACTAAGGTGAACATTTTGAGAGCAGGAGAAAGAAAAGAATATGGTGACTAACTTATCTATCTGAAATGCCTTTTTATGTTGTGATCCAATTCTTGCAGAAAATGTCATGGGAATAAGTACAAAAATCAGCATATCATGTAACTGAAAACTTAGGTGGTCTAAAATCCATTATAAAAGACAAGCTTTATTTAGCTGACTAGCATACATTAATACCCAAGGTTGCTAATGTCCTAAATACTATTCTAGTGAGAAAAGGGCTGCATAGCCAGTGAGGAAGAGGCTGTTTTCTTCTGTTCTGAAAAGAGCTTAATCACTATTGTTACAACTGAAATAGCATTCACAAAATAGCTGAAACAAGATCCTTTACTTGGTGAAATCTGGTAGCTGGCCAGTCTAAAAGAGATGGGTAGCAGGCAAGACAGGCACAGACTTCACACATAAACAAACTACAGAAGGCTTTTGGTTTTGTAAAGTGACTAATTTGGTCTGTCTTACATTCAGACCATAAAATAGAAGATTGTGGAGAGGTACTGATCAGTTTAAACAAACTCTATTACTCCACATCATGTTTAACACACATTACAAATACATCCACAACAAAAAAACAGAGAGTGATAAATTTCCCAAGGATGTTCAGAGTGTCTTTTATTAATGGAAAATTGATGCTAACAAACATGAGAAAATAATGTTATGAGTAGTTGTCCATCAGCTGACATCTGCAAATTTCTTAGGGCGAAAAACCTTATCCAGGTTTGGGATAAAAATTATGTGTTTCAAAAATAATAATAAAAACCTCTTCCATATGTTTTCATCTGGAATGACACTAAAGAGAAACCTACATGGCACCATTTCATATGTAGTTAATGTCACATCTGTCAAAATATCTTGCATCTTGGTTTCTTGTAAAACAGGTAAATTTAACAGGTAAATTTAATGACTACTTATTTTGTTTTTAAAATAAAAAAGATGGATGATTTTACTGTCTGTGGATACTGAAGCAAATGTAACCTATGTAAGAAGTATTCCCTCTGTAAGAGAAAAGAGCAGTTCAACCACTCTAACAGACAGCTATTTTAGTTCAGAGGATATTGCACAGTTCTGCCATACGCCTTTGACCAAACTTTCCAAACAGGGACAGTGAAAGCTAAAGTCAGTTTTTCTATTTCTATTTCTATTTCTATTTCTATTTCTAAGAAGGTTTATATGAAAAATAAAAGAAAATAAAATAAATAGTAAGATAATACAAGGTTCTGTATTCCATTGTTGCTACTAGACAGGAGCAGCAACAACCAGTTTAGCAATTTTAAGACTGAAATCACCTCCTCTTCCATCAAAAAGGATAGATTAAAAATCTTAAAATTGAAACTTGAAATGTAAGCCATAGCAACTGGTACTTCTCACTTGCAGGTGTTACAAAACTACTTTCTAATAATGCATCTTAAAGAAATTCACAGCAGTCTCTGGTCTTCTGGTGAGGGGTCCAGAGGCTCTTCCTCAGCCTACATCTGCTGCACTGCTTCAGTTCTCATCTGTTGCCTCCTGCTTATCAAGTTGTGGAATCTCCAGACTTGCTTACTCATGCTCTTCAATTTCATTTATCCTTATTCCCTGTGGCATAGCTACTGAAGTCATAGCCCAATTCTGATATTAAACCTCCATCCTAACTTGCAGTATTTGCTATTATCTAATACTTGGCCTCTTATAAAGCTTTAGCTGCTAATTTAAGCTGTCCCTCTCCTTTTTCAGCTGTTATGTATTTGCAATCCTGAATCTATGGTCAAAACAGTATTGAATTTGGCTTTCTACAAGTGAAGTCCAACAGGTGCACCCAACATAATTAATGATTTTACCTCATGAGCCTTTATCTCTTTTTCCCTTGAACAGTAATTTGCAACTGAATCTATGAGGGCATTTAGGTAGTAACACTCACACATTTAGAGCTGGCTCTAAAAACAGTGTAGGATTTATACAGGCCAATGGAGAACCAATTTTGTGAAATTAAGAAGTTGAGGTTGACTCGACAAGTCTTCAAATATCTTGGCATAATCTTCTACTCTAGAAAATGATTTCTGAATTTCCATATAAATATGTTAATGGATCTTCCTAAAATGTGTAATATGTAAAAGGCCTTTTGGCTATACCCAGTGCATAAGTTTCTTCAGCACTGCTGTATGCAAAAAAGAACACTTAAGTAGTTTGCAAATGGAGGCTTCAAAGTTGACAGGAAAATCAACATTAGCTGCCCTGTGTTCATCTTCTGTCATGGATTCCAATTAAAATAAATTATGCACAAGACAATATGATTCCATGAACTCATTAAGGCTCCTTAATCCAGCAGTATAATATTCAAGTTGCACTGGAATGCAGGTCATTTGGAATGGTTATACATTAAAGATAGCAGAAGAGGCTCAGCTCTAGAAGACAGCTATGTGATAGAAGCAGACAAGCTACATGCAAAAGAATATGAAGATAGGGACTAGAAAGAAAATAAAAGTTTTTGCCATCAACTACCTCTGCTCAAGAGGGTAAGAAGAAATATGGGTGATAGGAGTTATTGTGAGAAGAAGGCAGTAAAAGCAAGGCAGCAGGTTCCCCATGAGCAGCAATAGCACAAATGGGAGATTGACTTGAAAATGACCTAAAGGAACCCAGCACAGCAAGGACTTTCCGGCAGCCCAGAGACAGACTGACAGCCCAGCTTACACGAAGTGTGCAGTGCCAAGTATTGGTGGCAACAAGAAGGGCTTTGGAATAGGGACCATGAAGTTAGGTGCACTTTCATCATCCTTGCAAATAATTTTTAGCATTAAGAACCCATTTGGCTTTAAGACAAGTGAATTTTGCAGGAGTGTAACACCTGAGTTACACTGCCTCTCTGGGCTCACTAGGGTTTCAGCAAAGTCTGAAGGTGCAGGCTGTTATACTTAAGCCTTCCATGAGTAAAACAATGAACCTATTAATGTCTTTGCAATACAGGAATATACCTACGAGTAAGCTGCAAAAATTTTTAGAGACATCATTCTAGTTAATTACTACAAAACTGAACAACAATTGCAGTGTAATATTTTTCTCTTTCCCGTCAGGCACTTCGAGATTTGTTAGCACTCAGATACCAATTTCTGTGTATCCAAGACCGTGTAGATTGATAACTCAGTATAGGCAAAATGCTGGATATTTAAGAGCACAAGCTGACTTTGTTGCTTGGAGGTCTTTTAGTTCTATTTTGTTTCAGAAAAGTAATTGATGAGCCTCTTTTATTCCTATTTTTCTACATATAGAAATAAAATATATGGGGAAAGGGAAGGGAAAATGCTATGCACTTGATCAGTAGACATCTCTGCTTCTATACAGAAGGCAAATTACCTACCAGGTTCCTTACATCCACATATATTAGACATGCATGCAGTACATTTGTTGAACAAGGCATTTCAAAACAGTTTCACAGGTTTAGTTCCAGAAAAAATTTCATGCCAGTGTATGTTTTGGTATGATCTATTTTTGTTTCCAGGTTTCCTTGAAGCAGGGTTCCAAAGACAAAATTGAGACTTCCCTCCAAAACAGGAGGAGACCACATGGCACACCATTATTCAAAAAATGCCAGTCTAACAGCCTTCATCCAATAAAGGAATGTTGTGCAGAAAACATGTAAAATGATGGTAGTATGTTGTTATCATAACTATGCAGCTTTTCATCATGAAATGACAAAAAAGCCCACAAAAAAGAGCACACTTAAAAACAATACTCTTTCAAGGTATGCATCAGCAGTGCATGATGCCATGCTAAAAAACAAGCTGAAGTATTAAAAGGAAATACCCCTCCTCTATGTCCCAAAAATGTCATGCAGAAGAATTGTGGTTTCAGCTACACATTATAACACATTTACTCATATTTTATTGAATAGATATATATTTTAATTAAATAGACATTCCTGATTTTCAGCAGCACTGTAAATTTAATCTAAACAGTTCTTTTCTCTTCAACTAACACTATAAATCTATTACAAGGCAAAAGCAGAAGTACAATGGAGTTTTTCTTTTGATGTAGCTGGCAGAAGAGATATAAGCTTACCTGCAAAAAAAGAAAAAGAAAAAAGCAGTAAAAAAACAATTAAAATGAAAAGAAGAAAAAAGAAAAAAAAACCCAGAAACAAAAAAAATGCAAGCCTCATTCAAAAGTGCCAGATATATGCAAATATTTTCCAAATATATAAGCAGATTCAGGGATTCTGCCTGTGCTGAAAGAGTCAGATTTGAGGGTTGTTTTCAAACTGCCTGTTGTGCCTGTCAAGTGCAGCTTGTCCTATCTTCCTATTAAATCCTTTTCTAACTCTTTCCTGGGTGAGGAATTCTATTCTGTATGCATATGTGAGCTAGACAGCCTGTGCAGTCTTCAGTAAAGGTTTCTGTTCAAACTTCAGTAAAATATAAAGGGAAACCTTTCAGCTCTTGACCAATTTCTGAAAAAACAAGAAATACAAACCAGATGATCTCTCTGTGTTCTTATTCAGTGCACATTCCTTCCTCCCTCCCTGCTCAAGAGTCACCGGCATTTCAGCTATCCACATGCTGCAGCATTTAATCAATGATTCAGTACACAGCCCATGAGATATGCCACAACACTTCAACAAGCAACTTGTATCTGTCCATGGGGACAGAGGATCTGAGTTTGTGTCAGTCTGTTCTTGTCAGTTATAATTAACCATACACCTATTTACATACATAAATATTTATACACAATGAGAAAACTTCCTAGTGCTTTATCAGATCTCACTTTATCACAGTGGATTCTGATGGCAGCAAAACACAATTTAGTTTTATTAAAAACTCAGAGAGAATTTTGAATCTCATAAATATAGAAATCATGGCCCAGATATTGAGATGTTAAGTACCTGAGGTTTCTGGGGACACCTGGAACTTGTAGATGTATGCTATCCTTTCCATTTTAAACATTTGGCCACAGTCTTCAATGGAGACACAGGAAAATTGTACAGAAAAAGTGGAGAGACAGGAGTGACATTGTATGGAACTTTTCTGAGACTTTCAAGTTTTTTTTAGGCTTTAAAAAACAGCCAAGAGGGATGAGCCTGTCAGGGAGTGAGAGTGGCAAGGAAGAAAACGTATAATAGACCTTCAGAATGGCCCAGGGTTATTGCTTGTGCTGTACTGGGGTGGGACCAGCTCAGGACAAACCATCCAGATGTTGTATGTTTCATAATTCACTGGCTAAGCCAGACGACACATACTGTGCAAAGAATTCAAATGTTAGAACAACCTCATGCTAACCACTAACTGGTGGATGAACTTTGTAAAAAGAAGTGCAGAACATATATTGTGCCTTGTTTAGTTGAGGGAAAGTATTGTTTAAGAAAGTAACAAAATAACTTCTACCTGGTAAGTTTTGAAGTCTCAGTGACTGCTAATATCTGTCTAGATAGTGGGAAAATAGTGACAATGTAAAAAAAGACCAAAATAATACCAAAGTAATAGCATTTATGGTTTACTTTTTGATACCAAAGTAATAGCATTTATGATCACCACAACATTATAACTAAAAAAAAAAAAAAAAATCTTCTCTTTTTTTGTTTTTTTGTTTGGCTTTGTTTTGCTGTCCAAAAGCCATGTCTGATGACAAGTTATGATTGCCTATCTCACCTTGTGTCCCTCTTGGTAGTGAATCCCTGTGAAGTGCTATGTACAGGGACCTTTGAGAATCATATCCCCACACCCTCCAGGGCACGTTCTTAGAGGTGACACAACAGGTGCCTCAGATAATAAAATATTTACTGTGAGGGAGAATGGAGTAAAGGAGTCCCTTTTACTGACAACAGCTGGGGAGAGAACAGTCAAGCAAAGAATCTTGTAACCATTAGGCCATCCCTGTTGCCAATGCTTGATGTGTGATCTCTGCTGGAGATCATTTATTTAGCAGAATATATGTTTAAAAATGTCTTATATGATACTAGGCACTCAGAAATGGATCTCTAAGAAGGGATTAAATGCATAAATGACAGAAACACCCTGAAAAAGTATAATTTAGAAATAGAAGGGAAAGGAAATGTAATCACCCTTAAGGTCACAGCTAATGGCAAAATAAAATCTGTCTGTCCTTGCTGTGTCCACAATAGACAGCCACCAGATGCCAGGGAGATGACAGGAGTTTTATTGGAAGTAGAAAAAAATATTTGATTGGAGGAGAATTATAAAGAGGCACACAGGCAATAACCTGAGGAAGGGAAAGAATATAATAACACTGATTCAATTTGAAATGTAAAATATTTCTGGCAGTTCAAGGGTATCAGTACTTTCTGTAATACCTCTTCCATACAAATTTTTGTCCATATAAAATGTATTGCCAGAACATAAGAAAAGGAAATGGTTTTCTTAGTGCTCTGTTGGCTTTTCTGCAGCCCACTCTGTCATACCACCAATTCTGGGCCTTTTTTAGGACTGCAGTTGATGTGGAAAGGGAAGGTATTGATCCTAGCACTAGCAGAGAGAGGAGTCTTCCAAAGGCTGAATGGAGTAGGAACATAGAGCTACTACTAGGCACTTTTATCACCTTTTAAAAGACATTTTAATTTACCACCCTGTTCTTTCATGGTCCAGTAATAACTAGGAGGGGAGATTTACTCATCTGCATACAAAAATGCTCCAGCTCCACTTACACAAGTGATGCCAGCATGAGCACAGGGAAGTGAGAGACACTGGGCCTATATTTTCCCTTTCCTAAAAATCCAAATCCATATTTGCTGCTTGCAGGCAGCTCCCCAGTCCAGCTGCTGCAGCTTTGGCCTCTCCTCTACTTTCTGTACAGGAGATTGAGATATCAGCATCTGACTTGCAATTCCCCAGTTATGGCAGCATAGAAACTCAACTTCTAACTTCCAGCCCCTCATTACTATTCAGATCTGGTTTTAGCCAGGATAGCTCCCCTTTTCAAGCCCATAAGCACCTTTAAAGATCACGTCAATCAAATCAGTTGACAAAAATATTCTTCTTTTGACAGCATTCCTGAGATTTTTGTAAATCAATACACCAACTGATTCAATTTATATCACAAAAATGTATTTTCTTTAACTTCATTCATATCACTGAACCTTTTTTAAAAGCTGTAGCAGGCAGTGCCTGAGTGCACAATTGCTGCACTAGAGGGAGTAGGAAGCTCATCTCTGCAGTGGCCACTGGGCCTGATGCGAGCTGCCCGGGCAATGCATGCATGTGCTGCTTAGGGGCCCTCGGAGTGAGCAGGTTCCTGGCTACTGAACACAGAACTGTGACTTGGGCACATCATTAACCACCAAAGCTCACGCTCTCTGTGGGAACAAGGCTCTTCGGAAAATCTCCACTTTGAACACTGCTAGTTGTTTCAGAATCTTCCTTTCATGGAAAATCATTCATGTTTTATAATTACTTGTTTCTGATCCAGGATCTGGGTGTATGCTGTATACATGCCTCACCTTATCATAATTTTCATTTTATGTCTTAGAGCAAAATTAGTTTGCAGTGCAAAGCACCTTCTGACTTTGCTTCTTTGTATAGCAAACAGTCCTCCACACTGGAGGCTTGTTGCAGATTTCTCTTCTAAAGATGAAAAAAGCACTAAATGGGTAGTATAATCTGTTTCTGTCCTCAAATTACAGGCAAAATGACCCATGCTACATCAGTTAAAAAAGCTTTTTCTAGCTGACAGGCATGGTTTAATCACTACTACAAAGCATCCATACACTTCCATCTAAAGTGCTCTAACAAGGGTTTTTCTTAAGAAAGAAAAATCCATCAAAATTCTTGAAGGAATCAGTGAGAGATAAATCCTTGTGGATGTCTTTTTTCCTTTACTGTGTCAAAGGGATGCCTGCATCTGGTAAATGTGAAAAAGCAGTAGAGCATAACAAAGAAAAGGGATAACTTTAAAAACTGCCTCTCATATATTGCTGCAGCAACTGTAGAAGCATATCCTCTATGCTATCAATAAGAAGTAATGTACTTCTACTCAGAGAAGCTGCATATTATTTACAACTCACAGAGCCAAAGTCAAAATTACTGTTATGGTAATATTCCCCTGTCTTTAACCACTGTAGCCTCTTCTCCTCTTCTGCATTTTCAGACATTTTCCAGATCTTAACCATCTTCTTTTGTCTACTTCCCTTTCACATTACTTTCTGACCAGAAGGCAACAGCAGAATTCTCCACTTTCACTGCTTTCCCATCTCTTTACCCCTCCCTCCATGCCCATTTTTAGTAATGATTTTTTCTCTTACTCAGTCTTTTGACTTTTTGACTGTAACATCTCCATACCATCCTCATGACTTTGTTCTCTCTCATTCTCAATCCTGTACTGCTCTCCTGGTTCTTTCCTTTCTACCTTCAAGCAGATCACAGGCTCCATTACCCCAGAGCAATTGTATCATAAGTCCCTTTCCACATCTCCCTATCTCCTCCTTTGGGATATGCAAATCATATGGCCTGTTTCCTCACTTCTAGTTCTCCATAATCCATAGCTTTCTAGAAACAAATGAAAAATGCCATTAGTTTAATTAGTTTGGGGTTTCAAAACTTTGAAATGTTAACTAGTGGGCATAATTTTCCAGGAAAATTTGAAAGGGAATTAGTCCGATGAAGAAGAATTAGAATACCTAAACCCCAAAACCTCTCATAAAAATATTGAAGTGCTTGGAAATCTTTGCTTTCTTTTATAGTGCTATGTGAATGGATGAAGGAATGATACTGACACCATTTGCCTCTGCTCTAAAGATGAGCAAAAATAGTCAGAAACAACTAAACTGTGTTATAGCATTGGAGGGAAAGGGTACCCTACATCTTTGTAGACATATAATCAATACCTTGATTTGCATGTATTATCCATTCAATTCAAGCTTTGATTTGAGAAGTCTCTTCTTCTCTTAAGACTGTAGTGCATATCTAAAACCCCTTTTTCTTTCATAAATATGGAATAGTTCTATTATCTGTAAAAACTGTCCATAGGAAAGAAAATGGAACAGGAGAGTTTTGAACTTATTCAGGCACTTCCAAAGTTATTTATCTCTATGACATTGGATAAGTCACTTGAAC